AATGCCAGACTCCAACTCACTGAGATCCGCCTGCCTCCTGAGTGCTGGAATTAAAGGTGTGCACATGACCGCCTGGCTACACTATTACTTTTAAATTAACAAAATCAATTATTTTCTTCTGTAACAAGGTAACTTTCTTGACCCTGCTAAATCAAAGACGAGAGAAATACAATACAACCATTCTTATAAATACAAGAAAAAATTAGCACTATCCTAAAAATGAACGTGGATCCCATGTGAGGGTATCACAGGACTCAAGTTGTAGGTAACAAAGTTCCCAGGAGCCTTTGCTTTCTGTACCTCTGTACACATAACAGTCAATAAAATTTAGAAGGACTTTATTTTTTCTCTCTTCCTATTGAGCGTTAAGAAACGGTTGCTTTTATGGTTAAATGGCATTTGCCAGATTGCAAAGTCTCCATTGTTAACCTGAACATTTGCTCTGCATGGTTTATGAGGGCAACTGCTCATCATAACAGGGCCAGGCTGGACAGGGTAGCATGTTTGCTGCCAACATGAGCAGTTCCTTCTCCTGAAGAGAAATCTGAAGTCTTTTAAAATGAGTTCATACACAAAGTGTTTTCACACTTAAAGGAGAGAAGATTGGGGTAACAGAAGATTGTTTTAAAAGTTTGTAGTGATTTAATATGAGGTGCATTCAGAAAGTAAAATGTACACACTCCAGGAAACATATAGACCCAAGGTCGACCCAAAGCACTTCTCTTTTAGGAGTAGTGTTTTCTCTTCCCTAATAAAAGCTTTCTTTAGCAACAGATTCTGTCAGCTGTGTGGAGAATTTCCAGGCTGTCACCTTACTGTCGGAGATTTGTCCTGACTTTTAATTTTAATTCTGTGACTGTCAGAGAACACGATCCTGATCCAGACCCCTAGACTGTAACACAGCTAAGAGACTGCTTTGCAAGTCTGCATGAGTCTTCAGGCTTTGTTGGAGGGTCTAGTATCATACACAGTTTTCTAATTAGCATGTATTAAAAGCCTGATGTGTTGACATTGTTTTCTTATAACATAGCCAGAACACATACTTTTTCATAACTATATTGCCGTGTACCTGAAAGTGCTTATACAACCAGATGGTGATTAGATCAGTATCCCATATCGGAACCTAGGTTTTGAATCACAGTTCTGCAATCTATTAAAATGAGTTACTCAACCTAAGCTACCTGATTTCTTTGCCTAACACCATTGCATCTGCTTCTCAGAGCACCTGGAGACAGGCTTTACAGGAGTTGGCTTTTGTTGAAGGAATTCATTCAGCCAATAACCTTTCTGATAGCAGATCATTAGAGCATGGTCTGAGATAATATAAGCACAGACAGGGAGCCAGGAAGCGGACTCTCCCTTTTTATCTCTCGCTTGGTTGGTGGTCAGAGTTAGGTTCACAGCACCCAGCACCCACCGAGCAGAAGAGGAACGCAGTGGCTTTCTTATTGTGAGTGTTCCCCAATAAATATGTTATCCTCATGTGCTCGTGGACCTCCTCAACTATGCCTCCAGGCTTTGAGAAATGGTAACCGTTGACATCATTGTTATAATAATAATAATAATAATAATAATAATAATAATAATAGAATAATGCTTGATGGTGGTTTAATTGATATTTTTTTCTCTGGCTTCCTCATGAATATGGTTACCAGATAAGTAAGTCAATGTAGAAATTATACCTATCTCCAAGAACATTACTTGACCTGATCCATAAAGCTTGTTTAAAATTGTATATTACTTCTGGGACTCCAGAGAGATCTCTGGAGCTAGTCAAGAGCTTACCTTAGAAGCACAGAGTCTAAGTTTTATACCACCTTCAAATAAATTATGATAGTGCACATTTCTGATACTAGCACAGGTAGACAGGACACAAGCAGAAACCTGGTGTTTAGTGGCTGGCCAAGCTAGTCTATTTGATGATTTCCAGCCAATGAGAGATACTCTCTCTCCAAAGGAAAATGAATGGCAGGTGAAAAACTACCCTGAAAGTTGTCCTGTGGCCTCCACGTGCACACATATGCATGTACACTCACACACAGGTCCATATACAAATTTGCACATATACTGTCATACACCCTAATAAACCGGATATAACTGGATATATAGAGAGGTGCAATGTTTTTTAAAACACCACTTCAAGCCAACTGGGTGCTATTCCTGTGGATGTAGGATGTCTTCATGAGCACAGCAGGAATTCTTTCCAACGCTAAGTATCAAGCTACTACCTTACAGACCCTCGGCCGCTTCACAAAAGCCAAATCATTTCATCCTCAGAGCTGCACTGTGAAGTAGACGGCATTATCACCGTCTTACAGCTTAGTAGAGTGACACTCACAGAGATATTCCAGCAGCTGCTAGGTCTGCCTGGCTGCTCTGTGTAAACCACTCGGCTCTCCACATCTGTATACTCTCCCTAGGACCACAAGGATCTCCATTAGGAACAGCTGGTCGGAATCTGTAGATTCTGAAGTTTAAAAACCTAATCATGTATGGTGTTCACCAATGCAGCCTAAAATACCAAGAATACAGTATTTCAGGATAATAACTTTAAGTGCACACAATTTACTAAGATCCAGGCTGTTCTTAAACGAACAACCTATTCGTTAATTAAAAGATAATTATCACAGCCTTGAAATTCATGTAGTGTGTGTTTTGAGACATGTTAAAGTAAGTGATTAATGTGCTTAAGTTTAATTTCTCCAGTTAACTACTTTGCTGGAAAACTCTGCTAAATAGAATGGACTTAAAACTCCATCCAGTAAGACAAAGTAGTAGTCTCTGTGTGTGTGTTTATGTGTGTGAGAATGCATATGTGTGTATGAACGCACATATATATGTGTGTAGATGTATATTGAGTGTGTATGTGTGCGCACGCATGTGTGCATGTGTGTGTGTGACTGCATCTGTGTACATCTATGTGTGTGGATGCATGTATATGTGTGCGAATGCATGTATGTGTGCAGAATGTATGTGTGTGTGTTTTGTGTACGAATATGTGTATGGTCTTGTGTGGAGGTCAGAGGTCAGTCCGATGTATTCCTCCGCTGAGCTACACTTTACTATTTTTGAGGTGGAGTCTCTCATTGGCCTGGAGCTCAGCAAGTAAGCTAGGCTAAACAGCCAGTGAGCAGTAGGGACCCCCCTACATCTTCCTCTCAGCTCTGAGATTACCACACATAGCTTTTTTTTTTTTTTCTAACTTGGGTTCTGTGGATCAAACTTAGGCATTTATGTCTGGATGGTACTTTCCTGGACTTAGCAATGTTCCCGGTCTCCATGGCTTTTATGTCCTGAATAGGAAGTGGGGGATGTTGGGATGTTGGCATTCGAACAGGAAAACAAGGAAACACTGCAATTAGTTATGCGAGAGCAAAGTCAAAGCTAGAACGAGTAAACTGTAACACTAATTGAACATAATTAAGCAACTCTTCATGCTACAGCATGAAGTTTGTGTAACAAATTGAGAAGTACCCAGCACTAAGACTCCTTAGTAATTTGCTCTGGGAAGCTTTTCAGATTGCCCTCGGCGTCACAGCCAAAGAGATCTTTTCAGCGGTGCTGGGGCCCTCTTAGTTTGCTCTTCTGGAGGGAGACAATGCTTTCTAGCATAACTGGGAGCTGAAATTCGCTACATGATATGCAGTGATGGAAGCCGTGGGATAAAATGTCAGACTGTGTCCACAGACAATAAACCTTGCTTATTTTTCTACTGCATTCATAGCCTGTAGTAATTGATAAACACTTTTTACCACACTGTCAACATTCTTCGTGGTTTCTCCTTGTCGCTCTAGGTCACTGGAAACTCGGCACACAAACACGCCTCTGTACAAAGTGAAGTGGAAGACAGGACTGAGAAAACCACCAGACAGTACCAAAGGAACAGATTTTGGCTTCTCCACTCCTATGGCCCTAAACTAGCTGAAACCAGTGCTTGAAGATAAACATCTTCTGACTTGGTTGGGCCACATGATAAGCTGGAAGGACATAGAGAAATAGGAAGAGTGACAGTGTTGAGGGCCAGCCCTTTTCTGTCCCCATTCTAAGTTATTCTGGTCATGTGTGAGTCTGTGAGAAAAGAGAACTGGAAGCGTCTACGTGTTTAGTCATCGATGATGTAGAAATTAGATTATGCTCCCCACTCTTACAGGATTCTGAAATTCTATACCAAAAACCGGGATGTATCAACTAATTTAAAATACTTAAGTATTTTTCCCAAGATCTTTGCTTTGGACACCTTTATGACTTTTTAGCCCTATGCAAGAAGAAATTGTCTAAACCCTTTAGGTTGCATCAAATAAGCAACATGCTTCCTATTTTAGTGGATTGAGCTACTCTACCCTTTTCCCAGCTTCTTCTTTAATTACTCAGTGAGAACATATGTAGCCATAGGTATCTTAACTCACATCAGGGGAAGAAGAAGGTTACTGAGAGAAAACCACAGAGGTGAGTAAAACAAGGGGGAGGACTATTGTCTGCGAGGAGTCTGCCCCTGGCTGAGAGGGAGGCTCAGACTTGCTTGGTCAAACTCTAGCTTGCGGAGTACAAAGGAAGTGTAGGAGTGAAGATAAGAACTTGTGAATTTCACATTTAAAATTTCTGTTATCCAAATGTTCTCTTTCTTGATAAAATCACTAATTGGTAGCTTTCTTATTCATGAAACTTTTTGCCCGGGGCTGATAAAATAACTGACCCAACCCTACGTCTCTTGAGACCTTGCAGGGACCCTTCCCAAACCGGCAAGAAGCAGAGATTTCACAAAAAAAAAAAAAAATCCTTCCATTGTATTGCTATTTACTAACCTACAACGAGGTACATGATTGAAGGGGGCTGGGAGAGGAAGCCACTGGCCATGGGATTGAAGAACGTTTGCCTATGCATAACTTATACACCTTATCACCCACCTCAAAGTATTAGACATGAAATATGGTTACTTAGAAAAGGGGCGGGGAAACAGGTTGGTTCTCTTTGTGCGCAGCAGACCACAGCCCATACTCTACCTCCGCCAACCACCACAGCCACGGGCTCACAGGTGCTGATGCAGTGCAGGAGGGAACTGAGGCGAATGTTGGAGTTGAGGAAGGCCACCACGCAGCCCAGCTTAGCCAGGCCAAACCACACATGAATGAAGTCGGGCTCGTTGCTCATCAACAGAGCCACAACATCCCCCCTTTTCAGTGAGGAGTGGTTCAGGAAGGCATGGGCGACTCTGTTGCTCCTCTTGTCGACATCCTCGTAGGTGTAAACGTCTCCTTCATAAATAATGAAGGCTTTCTGGGGTTGCCTCCTGGCGTGGCTCAGGAACTTATCCAGCACAGTGACCAGCTCCCCTCTCACTTTGTATATCGTCATCTGAATTCCATAGCGAACCACCTTCAGCAGGAACCACAAGTCGTCCCAGAAGTACGGGAACAGAAGTTTCTGCACCAAGTGCAGGAAGAGCAATCCAGCCCCAAATCCTGTGAGCCAAGGCAGAAGCATGACTGCCCTGGCCACCAGCTGACCCAATGGGTCCTATTAGTGTCTTTCTTTTCCAAAGGCTTCACCTCCTTTACCCTGGAGACCCTTGTCCTAAAAGCTCAGGGCTGGAACTTGCAGTTCTGGCTCAGGCTTTCTGTGTATATCCTGTGAAAGAAATCACTCGAAGGCAACGGAAAGCTGCTGATAAGGCTTGGGACACTGGACCCCCGCAGTGCTGTAGAGCAGAACACGTGAGTCTTCTCTAAAAAAAAAAAAAAAAAAAAAAAAAAAAAAGCGACTGCACACACAGCTCTCTCTCTCTCTCTCTCTCTCTCTCTCTCTCTCTCTCTCTCTCTCTCTCTCCTAAAAATGAGTCCCCCACAGCCCAGTGTTACCAATCCTCTTTGCTGCCAGAGCGGGCTGGTTGCAGGAGACTCTGGGCTTCAAGCTGGGAAGGTCTTTGGCTTCTCTTGGTCCTTGCAAGAACTAGGTTATGCTCGTCTGTACCTCCGCAGGTAGATGCTCCCCTTTGATTGCCAGGATCTGGAGGCTGAACTGGAGATGGAATTCTAAAGAAAGGCAGTGGTTTGTTCCGGGCTCCTGACTGTGCTCACGCAGGGGCTCAGCCACGCCTCGCAGTCCCGAGACAGATTCTGCAGCCAGAGTCACTCTTCTCCAGTCACCCTCGCCCCGCCCAGGGCAAGGCTCTCCCTTCCCCGCCCACACAAGTTCGGTCTGCTGGAAGGAGCTGCTGGCCACAGAAGCTAGGGATCTTCCCAGTGTCCTTGGAACTGGAAGAGCCACCCCGCCTACGTCCTGCCTCCCCCCAGCTTTGAGCCAGCATGGCAGTGATTTCCTGGACTCTCAGCGGTCTTGCTGAGCAAATGACCCTCCTCTTCCACGTGGCAGTGTGGTGGCAACATCATGCTTTAAGACCTGCCTCAGGCCGGATGTCCCACAGTCTCATGTAGAGTAACATAGGTACTGGAAAGCACGGTATGGGGGTGTCTGGAGGACCCAGCTATTGGCCTTGGGTTAGGGGTGATGAGGGGCTTCTGGAGAGACTAGTGAGGTGAAAGAATGTTGCCCCAGAGGGTTATTAGTAGATTTAGCAAACTATTGATGGAGTTAAAAGTAAAAGCATCCAATAAACAAAGCAAAACCTGCCGAAAGAGGACTGGAGATGAGTGTACACTTAGGAAGAAGTTGGGCCCCAAAATGATTATTTTCTGAAGAAAAGTAGAATGCTTGAACTCATCTAAGAAAGTTCCCGTGGTCTTTGTTTACAATAGGCGAATTTTAAAGCGCATTTTAAGTTAATGTTGGCCTGTCCGTTGCAACACTGTCTTTAGAGTGCCAATGTCAAAAAATTAATTTAATATTTGAAGTCACCACCGTAACTTTTAAAAGTATGAAATGATGCCTATTTTGGATTTTTGGAAGGGATGAAGTGGGTAACATGAGGGCAGCTGGGAGTTGCAGCAGTTGTACGAAATCTGCGCATGGAATTCTCTAAGAACAATTTCAATAAGGTATTTTAAAACAGTATTATTTTTTCAATTAGGTAGTTTAAACAATTGTCAGAGTTCAGAGGATTTCTCAGGTATGCTTGCAGCTATGGTCATTGGTTCTCAGTCTTCCCAATGCTGGGACCCTTTAATACAGTTTCTCATGTCGTGGTGACCCCCAACCATACCATTATTTTTGTTGATACTTCACAACAATATTTTTGCTACTGTTATGAGTCATAGTACAAATGTTTTTAGAGAGAGAAGTTTGCCAAAGGGGCCACCACCCACAGGTTGAAAACATTGAGCTATATTAAAAGAGTACATATTTTTATGCAAAGAGAATTTTACTAAAGATAAAACAAAGAGGAACATTTAATTATGCATTTAAATGGCTTTTTATGTATTTACATACAAAATACATATTTATAAGTGTGTATATGTGTTCATGTATGTACACTTGCAAGTAGATGTACACACTGGTGTGTAACCTTGGCTATAGAGGCCAGAAGTTGATATTTGGTATCTTCATTTATCATTCTCCATATTATTGTTTATTATTACTCTGGTGATGCTGAGACTAGGGCTCTCGCTGAATCTAGTGGAATGAGCAAGAATGGCTGGTCATCAAGCCTGGGGGAGGCGGGTCTCTAGTTTCTGGTTCCCTAATAATGGAACTGCAACCCTGTGCCACCTGGCCTGATATTTCATATCAATGCAGGGGATTCAAACTCTCTTCCTCATGCTGGTTGGGCAAGTACTTGACTCATCTCACTCGCTCTTGCTCATAAATTCGTTGCTACCAGACATCATCAGCCAGGCTCTTTGCTTTTAAATGCTAATTAAATAATCGTTAGTGCCTCATTATCTCTGTTTTTTTTTCCCTTCCATCAACAGGCTTAGCTAACTTCAGTCACTTTAAGAAACAAAAAGCAAAAAAGAAAGAAAAAAGAAAGAAAGTGAAAGAAGAAAGAACAAAAGAAAATAAAGAAAGAAAAGGAAAACAAAAAAATAGGACAAAATAATAACAAAACCTTGGTAAAAACCAAACACATGCTGTACTTGCCCTGGTTAGTTTGATACCACAGTAAAGGTCCCTGGAGCCACAGACTGCTAGATCCTCCCATGAAGATGAAGAGAATGCTTTATAACTCGATGCACAAGCTCTTATCTTCTCAATTCAGAAACATCTCTTCGGGTAAGAAGAAAGGGCTGTAACAGTGAGCATTTTAGACCTAAAGAGAGTGTCTGAAATGGCATTGTTTGCACTCTTGGCTCAGTGATTCAGTAACATCCTGGAAAACCACTTTGAGGCACAAAGTTAACCCGGAGCAGGCCGTGTCTCAGGTGGTTCTCTCACTGATATGAATAAATCCCTTTTCCCACAGGAAAATGTGTGTGTTTTTTTTAAATTTTCTTGTTGATCTTCTAACACCTAATTTTTAGCAATGGACAATATAAATGGGAATATAGAATGGACAGAGCCATCAGTGTGAGGCAGTGTAACCAGCAATTAGACTCTTAATACGTCAAATTCTAACATATTTAGATCTACAAGGTCATGTTACTAAAGCTTCTACAGGCTCACACCAGCTTCCTATGTGAACGAACTCTCCCCGTGGAAGATGAACTGTGTGAGCATCTTGAAGCACTTGTTAAGAGGCCTGTACATTCCTGTATCAGCACGTGAATCAATTGTCTCATCCATAAGTTTTTTACTACTTTCCATATTTTTTACACTACTTTCCATATTTCCAAAGACAGCTATCAAAGATGAATGTCACTTAAGTAACAATACCAAGTTATTTGTACAAGGGCTGGCAGACAGCAATAGCTACAAGATCAAAGACTTAAGTAAAATAAAGAGAAACCTGAGCAAACAATTCATTTAGACCCCCGTCCTGAGAGTGCCTTTGATCAGGGACAGTGCAGTACTGCCCAGGTTACCCTTGGAATACACATCAATGTTATGATTTTCTCTAAGTGTATTTGAAAATAATAATAATAAAAACAGAGTGACTAAATAAAAATCAGTACAGGAAGAGAAGGGTCTTCCTACTCTGCATATGCTCTTCTCAACCCCCGTCTCAGTTCGGACTTGGCATTCCTCTCTATCCTTTTTCCAGTCCCTTCTGCACACTCAGTTCTGCTGAGGAGGAACTGTAGCAAATGACGAATGCCACACTGAACAAACAGCATCATGGGATGGGCACCAACACTTCCCCCAGGACACTGCCTCGGGAATCTCCACTTTCCTCCCATGCTTTCTGGTACAGTAATGCAGAAGTAATGCAGCCTTGGGGCTCTGGGAGGTTGAGATGAGAAAAAAGAGACTGAGAGAGATTTCATGGGATGCAAGCTGGATGAAAAGCATCACAATGGATACTTGCTGTGGATCAAGAAGCTGGCTACTTAATCCTGCCAGGGCTTGGGGCAAAAGAGAGAAGTGGCGTCATATATATTAAAGATTTGACTGCCTCTAAAAATAAAGGACTGCACCTTCTCAGGTTCTCCTGCAGAAAACATTCCTGCAGAAGTGGGTCTTTGTGGATCATGCGCGGAGAAGGAAATACGATGGACTGAGGCCACAGCAATGCTCTGCCCAGATCTCCTCTTTCTCATCTCTAATGATTGATGACTGACCAATTTTCACAGTTAGGTTTCGGCCATGGCCACATTTCCTGGAGGCCTCCCATGTTGTGTATGACAAGAACACTACAGAAGGCCCGTTGCTGAGGAAGGCAGAGGAAAAAGGGCTATTTGTGTTGGTTAATTAGTCTCACCCAAAAGGCAAGTTAAATGTCTCCCATCTTTGCAACAGCAAGCAGTTTGCCACTTAGAGGAAGGTGCTCATAAAGAGTTTAGCTCCTACCCTTCCACAGAAACAAGGAGACATAGGTCTATCTTCTTTCATGGTGACATTCCAAGGAGAGAAGAATAGAGTTGAAAACACCGACTGCACAGACTCACCCACTCTATTATTCCACTCAGGAACAGTAGCGTTTTATAATTTTTAACGACTATATTTAGACTGTGACACCAACTTGAGTTTTGATGGAAGACGCACTTTCCTGTAATCCAATGTTTATTTATATTAATAAATAATTATTGCCCAGGCTCATGAAACAAACAACATTAAAGTTAAGGAGATCTGTTAGAGAGCTGGGGGCCTGTTATTGTTGCTACATGTCTGAGACACATCAAACACATCTTAAAATATTAAAAAATTTATAGTACCAACTAAACCATCCCATAATAATAGTTCTAAGAGCAACTCCCAAACAAATTAAATCTTTAACTATCACTTCACTACTAATTGAAAAGGAACCTAGAAATTTGTGTGTATCAAAGTCCTAAGAAGATACTCCACACATTTATTTATTCATAGTATTTATTAGATTCAGATGCTTCTATGAAACACTTCCCTTTCTCATTATTGGTAAAATCGACTTTGTGAAAAAGATATTTATGTAAAGTTTCATTACTGACTGAGAACTCACGGGGTTTCATAGC